ACATCCAGTGCTGATTTCGTGCTCTGCTGTCCCATTCACACAAAAAACATGGAAACTTTGTATAACCGGATTGTTGACCCAACAACACATAAAGTAGTCAACCATGTTCTTTGTATTTAACTTTATTATGAAGAAGTTCGAGATTTTCGTACGCTTCCTTCAAGTGAACCGAATGAGCAATAGGAAGAAATTTACACAACCTCTTGTTGTCATAGTGACGAATAAATAATATCGAAAAATATATATAATAATATCAAAGTGCACACACAAACAAATGCTATCCAGAAATGATACGTCATGCGGCCCGTTAAACGTTTATATACTAGCGGTGTGTTTATCGTGGGTTTTAGAACAATCGATAAGACTCTCGCGATTGGTCTATAGAAATCTATAACTAGTGGTTGTCAAAATTTTAAGAATATCAAAATGTGACCCGATGTCAATGAAAATGATTCACTTCTGTAAAAGTACATATGACGTTTTGTGAAAAATCTCTACGTCATGGAGAAAAATGGATATCATTTTCTCTTTCAGCGTACAGGAATTACTGTAGAATGTAAAAAAATTCAAGACAGTCAAACCATCGCAGGCCTGTGTTATCAGACAGCACTAATATGTTTTTTATTCTGCTAAACAAAACCACTAAGCAGTATAAACACTTGACAGGGGTCGACCCATATGTTACCATTGAATGCTAGAAGACATACACTATCTTACCATAAGGACGGATCCCTGTGCTCTTCTATAGCCAGCCTGAGTTTTCGTCGGTGCATTCTATTAGAAATTCCCAATCCAGACTCAAGCTCAGCATTGGTCAACTCTAATAAAATCTGAAATTACAGAAAAAAATACACACGTCAATTTGGCGATTCCTAGAATATACATAAAGCAAATAACTGTATGTCTGCCTATCTGGCGAGCCACACGTGTTTTTTTGTTGTTGTCTTGTTTACATTACTTTCTTTTTTCAACAAGTTTACTGAAAAAAATAAAGATCATTATAAAGTTGGAATAGTTTAATTTCGTCACTGGTTTCTAGCTAAATACAAAAGATTCGGGGAAGTTGAGGCATAGCGGCGTAATAGCTCAGCATCTATTTCAACGGAAGTGTTGATGAAGAACACTAAATCCCTGTAGGAACGTAGTTACATCCTTATAAGTAATGTACGTTTTGCAGTATATTTTGTAAGTTGTGTTTAGCTAATTTATATATATATATATTTATTTATTTATTTTGATTTTTTCTAACCTTTACCCCTTGTTTTTTGCTTTATAGTGGTGATATCCGTGATTATTTGCGAATTATAATAATATATTATTTCGTTTCATACTCAGATTGCAAAACTTCATGTATATACGTGCTTTTAATGAATTCTGTGAAAAACAAGCGCCCAGATTATAGCCACGTTTATATGTGCAATAAACCACAACGATTTAGAAATATTTCTTTTGTTATTGAAATATGTGTAGATTTGTTTATCTTTTTAAAATGCAAGAGTTAAAGTACGTAATAAATAAACTACTTTGCACAGTTATTGATTACAATATGATGAAAATACACAAGTATCCACCTGTGAATACTGCGATATATAATCGACATTAATACTGACTGAAAATACACAAGTATCCACCTGTGAATACTGTGATATATAATCGACATTAATACTGACTGAAAATACACAAGTATCCACCTGTGAATACTGCGATATATAATCGACATTAATACTGACTGAAAATACACAAGTATCCACCTGTGAATACTGCGATATATAATCGACATTAATACTTTTCGGTTTATTTTACTTTCAAAAGTTTTAATCTTTCTAAACTACAGTCACAATCTGTTGTAACAGACTGTTAACTATGATAGCGCGACACTAAGGTTTTGGTCAATTTAGAAGATAAGTACGAAAAAAAACCAAAAAAACGTTAGTTTCATGAAATTCGTAATATACCAACAGTTTATCGGTTTATTTGAAATGAATTTTTTTAAAGTACCAGACGTTTGAAATATTTATTCGGTAAAACATTAACCTTTTGTGTAGTTTCATATTTAATGATAATGTCGTCTAGTAAGCACCTAACACTAGGAACTATTAAAGAAATCCCCCATGACAATCATAACCTTTCCACTTTTGACATTTTCAGCACACATAGCACCATATTGAGGCATCCCTAAAGATAGTTCAACCCAAGCTTGCACCGTAGCAGCTTTCCACTTTTCCATGGGAATATCTTGTGCTTCTTCTAACAGCTTCACTTTTTCTGTGTAAACATCTAATGTTGTAGGACTGGCGCAGACACTACTTTGGGGAGACCAAGATGACACCTGGCGAGTAGCTTCAACTGTAAGAAAGAATGACCAAATGCCAAACATCAATGTGAGAAACATGTGACATGTATATTGATCAACACATTACGGAAGTTGAAGGTTGGGAATCATACAACTATAAAAATAAGGCTTTTTTAACATCAGCCTTTTATGTCAAATATTAGGTGTAACTGCCTTCCCACAACTAGTTGTAGACAGCAAAAGGCAGTAGAAGACGTTGTGGGTCAAAGTATTCAATTCCTAGCCCCTGTGTAATCTGATCTTCCCTATCCACTATCTAGTTTGGATAATGTCTGATAGATGGAATATCCCCAACGATTTTGGGTGTTATGACCACATAACATTTTCCATTATAATTTAATAAATAGTGACAAGGACTGGCAATGAATAAGTTTTTCTTTCTTTGGGTTAGAATCTTATAACTGACATCTCAGTTTTGGTTATTATACTAATTTCCACCGTTGTTATATAGTGCTGATTTGATTGCCTATATACAATTGGTGTAATTTATAATATTTGAACTGTTTACTTATACACAGTATTGCAAATAATTGTGGAAACAGTAAATAGAATGGGTATAAATGCATATATTATAGGATATCTCCCCCTGTATTGTAAGATAATGAGCCGCGGCAGAGTAGTCACGTGTTGGTAGGTTACATCGTGTCTAGCTATCATGTAACCAATCTTATAGTGCCACATCAGTATAATGCCTATAAGAGTTCAGGCAGCCGTATTATTCCTAGCTGTGGTGTGATAAGTATATTCATGGCTTTTAGAACAGAAATGCTACATATAAAAACATATAGCAATCAAAGTTTTGGTTGGTGAAGGTTACTTTATTTAACAGGTAGAGGCAAAATTACACGTTTTTTATGAGCTGCATGGAAACTCCGAAGAAGGTGCATGAAACTAATACTATTGATACTGGAAGCATCCGAGATAGAAATCCCAAACTTTTCAAAAGTGATGTTAAGTATCTCCGTATATGTTCTTTACTAGATACAAGACAATCCCGTAGTGATCTTTTTCCAATGACCTAGCTATAAATACAGATGCGAATATTACCTCCTGAGTATCAAGACACACAGGATGTACAGCCGCTCAAAAAACACTTCTTATGGGAGATAACCAAATAAAAGGCTATTGTATGAGCAAAGCTGGAGGAGGGTGCTCTTTACAGGTGGATCCAGATTCATATTGTTTGGCAAAAATCACGATTACGGTGAGGAAAACGGCATCACGGTTAACACGCAACATGTACAATGAAACATGCTGGAGGGCCTACACAAGTGTGGGCTGCACCTCAGCTAAAGATATTGGAAATCTACATTACGTCATTCCCTCAGGAATAAGATATGTTTAGCATGGGTTTATCTTTCAGCAAGACAGTGATCCCTAACATGCAGCAAATGTGGTGAAATGATAACTTTAAGGAAAGGAATGAAACACCTATGAAACACTCGCAACCATGTATTGCCCTGCATAAAGTCCCAGTAGGAACATTATCGAGACTGTAAAGGCTTATATAGAAACACCTGAGAAAGTCAAACGGCAACCAAGGAACTTGTCAGAATAATATGGAGTAATACAGGACATTTAGAACAACATTTCACAATCAAATATTGATAAACCTAAAGCAGCATCAAAACAAGGCATACTGCTCTTTTTAACGCAAATGAAATATCCTAGTGCATTGTAAAACATATTCGCTTTTCTTCTGTAGCTTCTGTATTGTACTTATGATAAACTGACCATTGAGTTGCATTACCCATTGTTTGTATTTCCTATAATTACTTCCAATACTGTATAGTTATTTTTTATATTTAGGTATTGATTTTAACAGCTAAACAAACGAAATCATGAAATCAGTATTTTTATACCTTGGAAGATATCTAAAAACAAATTTCAGACAACAAGGTCAAAAACATAAAGCATCCAGCGTAAAAGATACATAAATAAAAACTAAGGTACAAACTACAAAATGGTAAAACGTATTCTAGTAAAAGAGATAGATGTATTTTAAAGTAGGAGAATACTTTGTACACGTAAGGATGCCAACAATCTGTTTATAAACAGAATATTTTGTAATTAAAAACGTTTTTATGAATATACAAAGTAATACGATATTTTACATTTCCATTATAAAGAGCTTTGAAATTAAGTAATTCAACTGGTATATTACTAAATGTATCGACTAATAGATCTAACCAGATCGTTTAAGGAAATGTTCACGCTTCAAGTTGTAAAATCATAAGTATGTACTGAAAAAGCATATTAAACGTATTTAATAATTAATTACTATTTAATATGCAGAAAACGTGGAGAGAGGGTTGGCTCTGTGGTAAAATTCTAGATTTTGGAGATGGCGAGCCGATCTCGAATCCGTGCGATACTACAAAATAAGCCATGTACCTTAAGCTGTTGGTGCGTTATAAGAGCGACAGTTAATCCCTTAGGGTTGCCTTCCTTCTGATCACTAGTTCAAAATTAGGGACAGTAGCGGACAGTCTTTATAGCTTTGCCATGAGTATAAAATATAAATACCAGAAGTCACAAATGCTACGATCAATAATCTTTAATATTATCTATTAATAAATTCTAAATTTTGTTTAACAGGATGGCTGGCTATTTAAGAACATTTTTACTGAACTTAATTGATTCTTATATAGTTTTGAAATTTGATATAAATATGGCAATTCTGAAAAATCTGACAGATTTACAAGTAAGCTTCTTTTAAGGTTTAGTAATCCTAGCTAGAACTTTCTCAAAGGATTTGTTTGTAATCCGAAAAACATCAGTAGAATTCAAGCCATTAATTACCATGTTATCATATATATAGACTTTTGGTTTTTAGAAATAAAATAAAAAGAAACCCCTGCAGGATAATTCTTTAATTTAACCATTTTTTAAAACCTTATTTAACTTTATTCAAAATAAAGTATTTTCACTCAAGAAGAAACGTAGGTGAATAATCTGTGATATAATGTAGTTGAATTATATACCCATCTACGTTTTTAATATTAATGCTATGAGACTCCTTCTTTTACAACATTTTGGGAATCTACACTTAGATCCTTTATTAAGATTTTTTTAAAACTATAATATTGTGTAATTTCTAAGTTATCGCTAATAATATCTATATAAGTTTGCTTAACATTATTTGAAAAATTAGTAAAATTTTAGTTGTTAATCTAAATCTAATAGCGCCAATAATAAAATATTTTACTTGTTTGATTTGAAAGGAAAATATATATAATCTGTGTCCATTATATAATTAAACAACCTATGAAAGATCGTTAAAGAGATGTTTGTATATATATATGTCGATACATTAGAATAATTATTTATCACTGATCTAGTCCGAATGATTTTGTTGCTCATTTGCCTTTAATAATCTATCTATCTGTAAGGTGTGTCCGTGAAAAACCTTTTATAACGAGTTTAGAGGTGATCTAATTTTTTCTTTAAACAGTGTTTTTTATACCATATCTGAAACGCACTTAAATATACAAAAGTGCTTAAAGTTGACCATTTCAGATGGAGAGTCTAATTCCGTAAAAAGTTTTTGGTGGAGATGCTAGTGAAGCAAGATTACAATACCAATCGAAACGCGGAATATTAAGATCCTTCCTCAGAAGCCATTTGTAAAGGGTTAATCAAACAGATAATAAAAAGAAAGTTAACTGTTTTATGTATTGGTTATGAAAGAATATTCGACGTTAATAGTTGATCTCATTTGATTTACCGTTATCTTAAAGAAATATGTTAGATGTACATTTCACGTTTTCTTATTAATTCATATTTAGAAAACGCATTTGAAGTTATTCTTCCAGTAAAAAAGAGATCGATACAGAAAGACGCAGTACTGTAGATATTGCACAAACCAAACTCTTTAGAAATTATACCAGTGTATAATAGTGGACCATAAAGATTTACCTTCGAATAATCCCGGCTCCAGAGGTTTACGTTGACGCCCTCTGGTGAAAACCTTTGATATTGATGCCCAGTTTCCTTTTACTTCACGCTGTTTTCGGCTTTTCTTGCCTCTTTCGTCATTGGATACGTAGTCACTACAGATTTCTTCAGCCGATCTGGATACCGTTGGCAAGATGGACTTGTCTTCTTGAGGAGTACTCAGTCCTGTAAATACAAATATAATTGAGAGCGGAGTTTTACCACGAGGAGATGTATATTAGCTTAACACAGCTATGTAGTAAAACCAAATTGTAGCTCAGATATTTTCGATCTCTCTTATTCTTTATACATGAAACAACATTCTCTGTATAGGCCTACATAGCTTAACACAGCTATGTAGTAAAACCAAATTGTAGCTCAGATATTTTCGATCTCTCTTATTTTTTATACATGAAACAACATTCTCTGTATAGGCCTACATAGCTTAACACAGATATGTAGCAAAACCAAATTGTAGCTCAGATATTTTCGATCTCTCTTATTCTTTATACATGAAACAACATTCTCTGTATAGGCCTACAGCTGTTTTCCGTCTCTCCCGCTAAGCCTGCGGGCTTATAACACTAAAAAATCGGATTTTGATACCCGCGGTGGTCAGAGCACAGCTAACCCATTGTGCAGTTTCGTTTATTACAACAAACTAACAAAATACAACTGTTTCCAAACCAGAGTTTGCATTAATACTTTATGTCTCTTTCCTAATAAAAAAAAATTATAATTACACTTTCGCTGGCATGATTAATTAGTTACTATCATTACATAACAGTTGAGTAGCATGAGTTCTCTATCTGTAAGTAACATTTGATGGATTAGCTAATTGGCAAACATCGTACGGTTTATAATCTGACTATAGCAAAAATTTGTTACCTGTTTTCTGCTGAGCGATATCATCATTTCATTATTAATATTATACAAGCTTATAAACTGGTAACCTTAGTTATTAAAGCTACACAGGATATTCAACAATCTTAATTAGCCTTGGGATGCTTATCTTTAACAACAAAAACTATATTGTGCTTAAAACCCGTGATAACTCAGCAAAGGTCGATCTCTGCGGTGGGGATAGTGCAGATAACCCATTATGCAACTTTGTACTTAACATCAGAAATAGTATTTAAAACACGTCTACAACGCTAAATATTTTGTTCGGGTTTGTACCCAAGTCGCAGTTTTCGGAATTTTAATAACTTGTGAATAGACAAGTATATAAAAATCTAGTTAGAAAGGGTGTGCGAAAGACTTAGCAACGCTTTTTGAAGATCAAAACTGGGGATTATTTTTTATGAAATTAATTGTCTTTGTTTTCTGTATAAATATTCCTAAAACTGTCAACTCCATCAAACTTATCTTCAGGATAACTTACATCATAATCTTTCACCCGTGATTTTTTTACACTATCCACGTTTGTTGATCTGGTAGGTCACAAACACAAGAAATACACTATAGATATATGCCAATGCCACAATACTCACCATAGTGGCTCAGACTAGCGTTGTTATGCACTGTACCTGTGGAAGTTTCAGCGCTGGGGTCAGATGCTGCAGTTGGAGTTGGAGCGCTACTGGTGTCTTGTTCTGTGGCTGTTGGAATGACGGTAGAGGTCGTGCTGGTTGGACTGAGATGGTCATTAGTCCGAAAGTTAATTGCGTAAGTGCTCTCGGCATCAGAGGAATAACCAATTTTTTCACGAACCTGTAAACAAATTCGTTAAACTAATTGAAAACAGTTCTTATCGTTACGTTTAGGGGGGGGGGACACAAAGAAGTTTTTCGGATTGAAGGACGAAGGTGTCAGTGTACGTGTCACATATAGATTTGTTTCCTTAGTGTACGTGTCACATATAGATTTGTTTCCTTAGTGTACGTGTCACATATAGATTTATTTCCTTTTGCTGAAACAGAATAACTCGGAGAAATACGATCCCAAAATTATTCTAGCACTCTATTCTTACACGTCCCCCAGTGTAATTTTACGTTCTTACAATATTAAAATCTCGATTCCCCATGATGAACAGGTCGCAGATAGTCTATTGTGGAACATTGCGCTAAAATAAACAAACATTGTTCCACATAAGCTGTTACCGTCCAGATGTAATGGCAATAGAGTTACAAGCCTAGAAATGCTATTCTCGATACTAGCCCAGTTGGAAGGGGCCTGGAATCAGGGGACTTTGCTGCACCCCTCCCCCTTATTTTTTACTCTTTTTCAGTTTCTTTGAAACCTGTTAATCAGTGGATCAAAGAAACTGAATGGAAAAAACAATAAATAAAAACATACCTGAAAACAATATATATATATATATATATATCACCGGCCACAGTTGGAGACGTGCAAAACATTTTGTTCGTTTTTAGCTATGTGCAATACGTGACAGTCTTAACACATTTTTATTTCACAAAAATTAAAATGTGTGCGAGGTTTAGTGTGCAGTTCGTGCATTCCAATTATTTCATGCCGATGTTTAATTTTTATTTTAAAAGAAAAAAGAACAGAATTTTCGTGCTTTGAAAAGTAAAAATTCAAACCTAAGAATTATTTATTAACTATATTACTAAGGTTGAATCTGTTTTAAATACCTTCTCTTAATTAAAGTAGCCCCCCAGTGGCACAGCGGTATGTCTGTGGACTTACAACGCTAGAATCTGGGTTTCGATACCCGAGGTGGGCAGAGCACAGATAGTCCATCGTGTAGCTTTGCGCTTAATTACAATCATACAAACAAAAAATACTTAAAGTGATACTGTTCATCTAAAAAATGTTTATAAGTATCACTACTGGCTGAACGAAACACATTATTTACACCATAAAGATTATCGTTGTTCTTTTTAGGAAAAAAATAGCTCATTTGGCTTTAACTCACGATATTGAGTTCCTCTGTTAAATGCGTTAGTTGAGATTCCTTCATGTCCAGCTGAGCACACAAAGTGACTGTTTTCTCAGTTTCATCCTTAGCATGCTTCAGTATATTCCATTTTTCTCTTTCACATTCCTCCCTCTCTCGAACAAGCTGTATTTAAAGAAGGCATTCCTTATATACATAAAAGTTTTAGACGCCACATGTTACAAAGGTACCATTCAATTTTCAACAATACAGTAACTACTATAAACTACACCTTCTAACATATCTATATGTATACTCAAGTCACTTAAAGTCCCTCATGGAGTAAGCAGTAAGTTTACGGACTTACAACACTATAATCCACGGTTCGATGCCCCGTGAGGAACAATGCAGACAACCCATTGTGTAGTTTTGCGTTAAAACTAAACAAAGTCACTTAAATACCACCAGAGAGCGCTAGTATAATCAAAATTCTGAAAATGTACATTATTCGACTATATCAAAGTTGCAATTCTTTTCAAAACTAATTGTTTTATTCAGTTCTTGTAATGAATTTAATTTTATGCTACACGTCCATTTTATTTCTTAAAACACTTTTATTTTTTATAATTTAAGAGAAAGTTGTGTTCAGATCAGTAGCTTACTTTTACTACGAAGAGAGGAACTTACTTCAAAGAAAACATTAAGATTAATCAATTAATCAATCTATAAGTCAAACACTTTCTTGTAATGAAAAAGAGGATTGCTGTTAGTATAAACACTCCTGAAACTAATTTTATAAAACAGATACGTGGTACAGAATTCATTCATAATTATCAAGCTGTACAAAGGTTAAGTACATCGTTACAGCCCACGTCACCACGTTCAGTCATGTTCTATCTAACGACCGTGCATCTTAACAATAGCCATACTGCATAGTTTTTATTGCAAAAGGTTCTGTCGTGAGGTTGTCATGTCAAAAGCACGCCCCTTCTCCCTGCTGGCTTTCCACAATCCATATAGTGTACGAGGACGACGGTTTCCTAGCACTCGTTTGAACAGTCTGATCTCACAGAAATCCATAGGTACGTCTTCGTAAGGAATAGTACGATTACCCGTTTCACGCTCCAGCTTCTTGAGGTATGCGACAGTAGAACAGATACACTGTGGAAGCAATTTGTTTACACGTGACCTGTGTCACTTTTCTAGGCGGAGTTCTTTCTTGACTGTGTTGTGTGCTATTGCCTGGGCAAATTGGATGACTTTTCCCAATGACTTTTACGCTTGGGTACGACTTGTTGCAGGTCTCTTTCTGGAAGAACTGGGTACCTCAAGTTGATCTATGTTCCTTTGTTTACCAAAAACATTAAATACCAGGGACATGCTTGTCTTGGCAATTCCAATTCCTCAATCTGAACACATCTTTATGATCTGAGTGCGTTCATATTTTTAATCGGAAAAGGCTGTTGTATACCATTCCCAAAAGCGATCAGTTTTCGGTGGCATCGTACTAGCTACGACAGTAAACATTGTTAAAAGTAGTTCTGATACATTTTGCTCCACCACAACTTTATATTATGTGACTTGCTGACTGGCATATTCAAAATCGTTTTAATATAACGTACTTACACCTCTGTATTAACCAAACGTCACTTACTACTTCAGACTTACCGTGGAAAATTATAGAATTATATCCCATTGGAATGATTTTGTTGATTTTTTACGTACTCGAGGGCTATCTGCACAAGCCGTCCCTAATTTTGAAGTAATAGACTAAAGGGAAGGCAGCTAGTCATCACCACCCACCGTCAACTCTTGGGCTACTCTTCTACCAACGAATAGTGGGATTGACCGTCACGTTATAACACCCTTACGGCTGAAAGAGCGAGCATGGTTGGTGGGATAGGGATTCGAACCCGCGACCCACAGGTTGCGAGTGGAGCACCCTAACCATCAATTGAATGAGAGGAGCGTGAAAGGTATGATAATAAAAACCAGATTGAGGGAACTCATTCATCAGAAACTTCATCGAGCATTGACTGAACATAATCATAGGGCAGAACTAAAAAATGTACTAGAAGTTAAGCGTATATAACAAGTTACTTTAATCATATTCAATATCCAAAGATTTAATCACTCCTGTAGCAATCCCATAATGTGGCTTAACATTCCTATAAGTGGCATACACAAGCTTTGGCAATAAAAAGTAGTTTGAAAAATAAACCTGGTATGTAGCATGGGTAAACACCATATATTACTGAAAACACGTATCGTTATAAATGCAAGCACCATCGTTTGAATTGTACACGAACTTTAGTGGGATGCTGTTGAACTATTGAAACACATCCCAAGCCATAGAGCGAGAACATGTTGCAGCAGCTGAAGTAGTTACCAGATATATGCAACAAGATCTTTCCCAAGTTAGTAGTTACCAGATATATGCAACAAAATCTTTCCCAAGTTAGTAGTTACCAGATATATGCAACAAGATCTTTCCCAAGTTAGTAGTTACCAGATATATGCAACAAGATCTTTCCCAAGTTACTCTGGTTAAACTGTTTTATTCATTTTTTCCAATAATACCCATTGCTAAGGTTGTTTCCTGCATCCGACTAAAATAAAAGATTTTAAAAAAATACACGTTTATTGTGCTATTCTGGAAATAATTTTCGTATATTCGAAATCCCGTTTATCATCTGTAGCCCCATAGATATACGTATGTCAATAAAAACACTAAAAATCTACTTGAAAAAAAAATTAAACATTCTATCACGCCTAAAGTCTGGATGCCAAATACGCCTGAAAAGTTCTATAAAAATATCAAAATTTAAAACAAAAGCCAAAAATTAAAAGGCCATATGTCCTTTGTGCCGCCATTGAGAAAACGACCATATTTGAGGTAATAGTTGGGTGAAGCAGGTCAGGAAGATGAGAAAACGACCGTATTTGAGGTGAGAATTGGGTGAAGCAGGTTAGGAAGATGAGAAAACGACCGTATTTGAAGTAAGAATTGGGTGAAGCAGGTTAGGAAGATGAGAAAACGACCATATTTGAGGTGAGAATTGGGTGAAGCAGGTCAGGAAGATGAGAAAACGACCGTATTTGAGGTGAGAATTGGGTGAAGCAGGTCAGGAAGATAAGAAAACGACCAAATTTGAGGTAAAAATTGGGTGAAGCAGGTCAGGAAGATTTAGTTTAGGTACTGATGAAGTAGTTTAGGGCAGTTGACAAGTTATGAGGGATATAACGTATAATATCAAAATACAGAACATTGGATTCACCAATATTGATTTAACACACAAGTACTCCATATTTAGTTGATAATATACGTCACTAGATATTTTTAATTAGGTATCAGGTTTACAACAACAGTCAATATATATTTAATAAAATAATTATACTTTATAGGTTTCAAAACTTCATGAAAAGCCCTTCAAAAATAGTTCACGAAGAAACCAAACTGACGCACTCTTTGTAAAACTGAATAATCCCTTTTTTTAAAAAAATGAGCCAGCGTTAACTTGAAGCATGCGTTGTAGCTGGTTGACTTACCACTAGGGTCGATAGATACAGAAGCTGAATAAAATATGTAACACTGATTCATTGATTCTTCAGAACTCTCTGAAGTTTTGTACACGAATGTTCAAAATAAATCAGCACAGTAAATGAGAATAATTGACTCTCTTAACTAACATAGTAGCAATTAATCCCTATATTTTCGCTGCCCAAGGGTACTTTGTATAACTTTGATATACTGTGTTACTTTGACAAAATGTGTATTAAAACAGATAATAACCCCTACGAAGGACTACTAACCGTAAACTTTGACAAAGTTAAAGACCCTGGTATCTGTTTACTGTTCCTCTTTAACATATTCCACGGAAACTGTTCAAGTCAAATCAATAGAACATGCGCGTTAACATTATAGCGTTGCGGAAATTCTCAATCGATCAGCATTAGCCTATCATTCTTGGCTAAACAGAAGCCTTTGAATTTTTGTCTGTAGAGACACAATATCATATCGACCAGCTTTAAGCAGCGAATTTCGTTAAATTGCTAGGAAAAGCATTAATTCAGCAAGTTTGCTTGACATTCTGTTTTGTTTGTTTGTTTCAGAATTTACGAACAAAGTTTGTTTGTTTGTTTGTTGACTTTTGCTCAAAACTACTCGAGCAATATCTGCGTTAGCAGTCCCTAATGTTGAAGTGAGAGACTAGAAGGAATGCGGCTATTCCAAACCATTCATCGTCAAACATTGGGGTATTTTTTGTCTGAATGAATAGTAGGATTTGACTGTCACTCTTAAAATGCATATATGGCCCCAAAGCAGAGCACAATTTTGGAGTAACAGAGCGTGATCCATGAGCCCCAAGATTCACAATCCTATATGAAGCAAGTATGGCTTAGAGGTTAGTGTGCTGAGTTATGGCTTTGCATGTTCCCCGTTCGCGTCCCTTTGCGACCAAAAAAAAATATCCATTTGGGGAAGTTGATGCATTATAAGGGTGACGGTCAAATCCTACTATTCAGACAGACAAGAGTAGCCCAAGAGTTGACGGTGAGTGCTGTTGACCTTTCCTCTAGTCTATCAGTTTAGAATTAGGGACGGCTAGTGTAGATAGCTCTTGAGTAGCTTTACGCGAATAACCGAAAAGAAACCAACAACGTTAACCATTAGGCAACGCCATGCTCTTTACTAAATTAGTACAAAGGAAATATCTAACAGTAACATATAAGTTAACAGTAAAGAAAATAGCATCTCTTGCCATTTTTGTTGTTATTTTATTCTTCTAGGATGAGATGAGAAAGTAGTGTTTTTGTGTATCACAAGTCTACTGCTCAGTGTCGTCCCGAATACAACAAACCAAAAAAAGAACGAAAGCATTAGGTCGGTAACACTATCAGAACTATAAAGAGGCTTTATCTTTAATGCCACCTATAGCAATCTAATTATCATAATATACATCATATTACATTACTTCTTCTCGTCAATCTGTTATTTACAACACCTGAACTTCGCTTTCAAGTATGATTTTGTAATCTTCGCAAGCGGGTTTATTCAAAATTATATAATGTCGTTAGTTGATTTGCAAAAAAAACGTGTTTATACCTTTATTATGAACATATTTCCTTAGTTCCTAGCCAGTTTAAAATATGACATCCTGCAATCGAAGAACGTAGTACTAAGTAAAATATATTAATATTGTAAGATATTTCCTACTCTGAATGCGGATATAAAAGCAATAATAAAATTATAATATTCGGTCTAATTTAGATTATGTAAAATAACATATTTATTATGTCCTCTTAAAGAACGTATGCTTTACTTGCATATCTTTGAGTTCTGTTGACTTGGAATCAGATCGATTTTGGAAAAATATCAGCAAAGTTGGAAAAATTGATGAAACGCATCATCAAATATAGTTAGAAAACCAGATCATATATATATATATATCTTCTTATCTTCACAAGATATATTTCACAAACCCGTCGATAAACAAGATGGTGCTTGCAGGATTATCACATCATTAGAAAAAATTACAGATGAAAGGTCACAAGAAACCAAAATTATTAAATTCTCAAGCAGTTTACTTCCTCCAAAACATCGGGGACAATTTAATGTTCAGAAAATACACAGATTGCACGATATTGTACTTTAGTGATTCAATTTAAAAAATGTATCGTACTCGTTTCTTTTTCTTTTGTAGGTGGAATGCTTTTTCGAATTATCGAACGAACTTCGAAATTTTCTCGCTAATGTCATAATGAATGCGTAGTTTAGCCGCTATACTATCCAACAGATAAGTACTGTAGTGAACAGTCAAACTTAATGGTTTAGGAAAACTAAAACTTGCAGCAGTTACGTCAACAATCGTGTAAAATCTCTGGTGTCCTTTAGTCATCAAAAAATACATACACAACTAATTAAGCCAATAAATTTTGCTCTTTCCCGTTTTTGAATGGTTAATGGAAATACCGAATTTCCCAAGGCTCAATGATTATTACGAACTAGGTACTGGAAGCGAATTAAACATTGAATGTTTTGAGAGGTTTTTCAATTTTCACTAATCGAGTAATTTGCCTTTCCTTTAGATATAAAGTAGTAATGAAACTAAGCTTTGTTTTGTTGAGTTCGCATCAGGTTTAATTAAGGTTACGTTCTAGTTTTCACGAATTTTTTTTAGTTACAACATTTAAAACAAGGAATTATTTACTCCCTTAATTGAAATATAGTTGAATATTCTATATCAAAGGATTAGCCCAGATAATTGACAAGTCAGAGTTTTTCACACATACACCAACCTGTGTTTAGTTTGCTGCTTGCCCGTTTTGTTTTTTGTTTTTGTTGGTGTTAGAAAAATGGTGACAGCTTTCTAAATCTTAGAAACAAATAACAATTTCTTTAAACCCGTTTACATTGAATGACCTCAAGCGGAAGATTACTGAACAATGTAATTATTGTGTCCGAAATCTATTGACAAGTGTGCATATATCTTTGGAATTTTGTTCTCAAAAAGTTAAATATATGATACATATATTCCATGTTTGTTAGCTGATGTATAAAACACTAAAAAAATAAAAGTGAGGCCCAATCTATCATTCGATTCACCACTTGTCACTGAGTTATACCGCTTTCAGGGAATTTGAACCCTCGACAGCAACCCTTGGCAAGGTTAAGTGGAAAAAATAAGATACGACTACATATAAAACGTTTTAAACATATAAAAACAAACTTGATTTTGTTAATGTGATATTCGAAAACGATTCCGACTAATTCTTCCTAATATAGTTTACTCAGTTACTTTTTTAGATAAGTAAAAACATGCCTACTAATAGAACAACAATCTTTAAGGCAAACGTTTGTTTAAGACCTGACAGTTATGCGTACTTAAAGTGGTGCTTCACTCTTGCTTTATAATAAACTTACTTGTTTCAGCTTTTCGTCACTTTGCTTCATTCGCTGTTCGTAGTTTCTAATAAAATCTCTCAGTTCCTTCTCTTTATCTTCTAAAGTACTGTAAAGTTGTTTCATGTGGTTCAGAACTTGGAACTTCTCCCCCTTCAGCCTCTTTCTGTCGTGCTTCAGAGCTAGAGCATACAAAGATACAACTATATCTGGTATTCACGTGCAGCACAAATTTCCAGCTTGACTGATCAGAAACAGATAAGATTTGTTTCTTTGACTAACGAAACAAAGATGTAAATAAGAGTAAATCAATGAAAAAACAGCTTTCATTGCTTGTAAGAGTAAATAGAAGCCCTACTGACCATTACCAGGTGCACGTATTACTAATACATATGAAAAAATACCGTATTGGTATGCATGTATATCCCAAACCAAACTAATAAAATTAAACCTTATCATTGTTAAGGTTTAAATTGAAAACCACAAATACTTATTATTAATAACTCATTGTACTTCTTAATGCAAGCGATGTTCGGATTGTGGGCTCGAGTCCCATCACCGAACATGTTTTCCCCTTTCAGCCGTGGAGGCGTTATAAATAATGTCAATCCCACTTTTTGTTGCTAAATAGTTAGCTGTGTGTGTGGGTGGGGGGGGGGGGTTGACTAGCTGCCTTCCCTCTAGTCTATCACTTCTAAATTAAGGACGGCTAACGCAGATAGCTCTCGAATACCTTGGCGCGAAATTCAACAAACCAACCCAATCATTTCTTAATAAATACTTTTGTAGATGTTCAACTCTTTGCGTTATTTTCAAGAAGTGTTTTAGATGAATGAATTTAATTGCATAAAAAAGTTTTACAAACTGTATCTAATCGGTATCTAAATTTGGAGATTCAACTTTAACCTTTATTATCCAAGATAATTTTTTTTATTAAATATTCGATTAATCTATGTGAAAAAACAAAACAAAAACGAAATATAAATATTTTAACATGTTGAAAATCAAAACACTCTTAGCTGAGGTTTAAAATGTAATAGCTGAAAACGTATTTTTAACAGTATTTTAGACAGAAAAAAAGTGACCCTCCTTACTCATCTTATATTTTTGTCTGCTACATCATTGAATGTAAATAACTAAGAAAACAAAATACTTAGGATACGCCGGAAGTTTGTTTGTTTTTTGAATTTCGCGCAAAGCTACTCGAGGGCTATCTCGCTAGCCATCCCTAATTTAGCAGTGTAAGACTAGAGGGAAGGCAGCTAGTCATCACCACCCACCGCCAACTCTTGGGGTACTCTTTTACCACTTTTACGAATAGTGGGATTGACCGTCACATTATAACGCCCCCACGGCTGTTTGGTGTGACGGGGATTCGAACCCGCGACCCTCGGATTGCGAGTCGAGCGCCTTAACCACCTGGCCATGCCGGGCCCCACGCCGGAAGTAAATCAGTGGAATTAAATGCAGTATTGGTAGTATCTTTATTTCTATTTTGTGGGTGTGTAAGACTCATATGGACTAATAAAGTCATTAACCCACAAAGAATTTTGTACATAAATAGTTTATAAAAATGTGTTTGAAGATAGAGTCGACGTATCTTAATTCCAAGTTAATAAAGTGCACTTTAGATAATACTGTCTTAAACAAAACCTTTCTTAACATTAGAGATTAACTTACAAAATAATTTTTAGACCCACAAGAACGGAACAACACAAAATTTATATGGATACACGTTTCGACACTTTCACGTGTCTTCTTCTGGTCAACATGTATCACAAACTCATACAATAGATTGTTATTTACTTCAGGAATGAAAATTTATTGCCAGTATTATACAGATCAGGCAAGTTCAAACTTTGGACGGAAGAGAACACGTAAACGTGTTGAAACTTGTATCCATATAAAGTTGGTATTCCATTATTGTGGATTTAAACCTTATTTTAGATTACACGGTATTGTGTACTTACTGTGTAGTTGTATAAAGGCTTTAGAACAAGAGGCCCTTCGAAAATAGTCTAACGTTTAATTTTATATTAATTTTGAATGTTATAGGTTAATACAAATTCCACAATCATCTTTATTTAGCTTTAGAATATTTATCATTTACAGTTCATTGAAATTATTATTTTATATGAATTTAATATTCTTCTCTACTCTGGTGGTTTGAATAATTTTTAAATAATTTATATGAAACTTCCAACCTGTTAAGGCTTCCTTGGCATGTTCGAGTTCTTTTTCCAAGCGCTTTACGTTGCAAGAAACATCTTTATTTCCTTCACTGTTTGCTTTCTCTTTGTAACATTGAAGTTCCTCTATCTCTCGGTAGAGGGTTTTATTGGATTGGCTCAATTTCTCGTTCTTTTCCTGCAGTTGCGCTAGTCTTTCTTCTAGATTGTTTGACTCCTCATGAGTACAAACTAATAAAATTACAGTCAATAATCATGAGAAATAGTTGAAAAATAATAATAAAATGCAAATTTCTAAAGCAAAGGTTTCTAGAAAATTCAATACATATTCAATATGTAATAATCCATGTTAATTTTTATATTAAACTCTGATACAGTAATAACGGTATTTTTTTTTCTGCTTTAAACTTTCTACTCAGTCTTTCTTCAGCCGTTTGTTAGATTTCTCATTACTCTATAATACTGAATACGACATAGAATTTATTAACACATTACTGTAGGTTATTATAAAGAAGTTTTACGTATTCCACATTATGATCTACCTCTCATTATTCAAAATTAAATTCTTTATTTTTTACTTTCTGTTCAAATAGTTTAAATTCATGTAAAGAATCATGCTAATTCAACAGTTTTTCATTGGCTATAAGAAAAGCTATTAAAAAGGCCTTTTTTCTGATTGGTTTATGGAATTTTTATACATTAAAGTAAGCTTGATACTTGTATTTACACAGATTATCCTTTCATGGCAAAACAAAGCACAGCGGGATTGAAGTAGGTTACTATTGTTTTTAAAAGAACTGTAAATAATGAAGAACTCTCAAAAGAATTTATCTCTGCAAGACTTTTTAAACGATAAAAAAATGTTTAAAATCAGATGTCTGACAATTAGAAGAGGGTGGATTCTCGTATTTTTGGTTCACTCTATTAAAGTTAATTTGAAACATTGCTTTCAAGAGTTCAGTTAATGTGTCATGTAACATTTGGCAACTGTTTCGTTCCCTTACCAAAAAGATAAACGTTTGGTACCAAATTTCAATTCTTTACTAGAACTGTTATGCTGTTTAGTGGAGGGATACTTATTACAAACATCTGCGACTATGATATTTTTTAAAAAATCAAACCTGTTTCTACACCTACAGTTTTAATTTTAACTGTAGGAATGACACACCTTTCTACTCGTCTCCGTGTTCTCGTGAGTCTGTTAGGCCTTGTTAATCAGAAAGGTAACTTTTTTCTGGGACGCTAAGCCGACATTCACATGCAGATATAAAAATATCATCTACTTTTAACTGTTTTTTCGATTGGTGCAGTTTGAAAGGGTGATTATGAAAGCGTCTCGTGGTAAAGCTTTAAAACATTACATTCTAGTCATGTAAGAGTCTAGATTGTAGACAGCTCGGAGTAGCTAACAGATATTGCCTGCATAATTCACCCAATAAATCATTCTGTTTCTGTGTTAACTTCTGGCTTATATGTCTAGTTATTTCTGTTCATTTAATTCAAGTGGATCACTAACCGTGTATAGTAGTTTAATATTATGGCCCTCTCGTCTTCCATAGTCACTAGTATGTCAGTGAAGTCTTAACGATCCTCCTGTTGTTGCTGAAGTTACTTATGAGCGTGTAGCTGTATAACCACGAATTCCAAACTATAACAATCGTCAGTATTTGAATAAAAATATAATACCAAGCACAAAATATCTGTTTATGATGTTGTCGTCATGAAATATGCAACATGTGAATTCAAAACAAACATACCTTAAGCTTTATTGATTAAATATATATCTCACAGCTATCTTTCTATTTATTCGTTTGTGGCTCGCATGCTTGCCTTTTGTAAACTGCGCGTTTTTGATCACGTCATTGCTATTCAATTATTGAAAACAATCTGTCCTACATTTTTTCGGCGAAATTGGTAATACAAGGTAGACGTCAGTGAAACTTGATGCATGAATTTTTAAATTATTACATTATACCTAATTCAAGTCTTAATATATTTTTTCATTAACTTTTTCTCACCTTTACAGCGCTCACAACTAGAATAAGTGGTTTTTATATCTTCAGTATCTGTTTTCTTTTTTTCAGCAACATTTTTATGACGTGACATAGTTTGCTTGTCACATATATTCTTTACATCATTTAAAACAGATTGGTCGGGACAGTTTGAGCTGTAGTTTGAGTTCCAATACGAAGAAAAGTTAGCAGTATATTTAAGATTGCTATTGCATTCAGTGCCTTGCGACTTAGGCCTGTTACTTGTCTCAGCGGGTACGCAGGTGGTCAGAGCATTTCCTGCCATATTATGAACTCCTATACTTTTTATAGTACTTGAATAGAAGCCGATTTCACCGGAATTATTTTCGTTAGCAAGATGTCTTCAAGTCACGAAAAGTTCCTCTTGTTGAAACGACATCTAATTATGAACGTTGAGAATTTCAGACTTTCATTCTGATGTCGTGGTTTTGTTGTCTTCCATCGTTTTTATTATGCTTAAAGGCGCCACCATCAGTGAGGATTGAATGAAAACCGTTTGTGATCCCAGAAGCCCCTCTACCGTTGCTGTTTCCATGGGGATATTTTAATATGTCACTATTAAAGAGTTCGGATTTCAGAATAAGGGGCGGTTTTAAGAATATGGCTGTTTAGTGGTTCCAAAGACTGGATATCTGAAAAAATAAGAAGTTTGTAGAAACCACGTTGTAGAATGTTTGACAGTTATAACTCAATTTTTGTGTGATTACTTTCACGCTATAACGCTGTAGAAGACTCATCTTAATAACCAATAAACAAAACAAAGAAAATATCAAAGATCACATTTCATTAGCAAGCATATACCATTTGGTGGTGTGTTTGATGTTCTTTACAACAACACGCTGCCTACGTAGAAAAGTTTTTTTAGATAAACATTTCTAATATAAATGTTTAGATTTTTACATATATTTATATATGTAAATATTTATAAGAAAGTTGTGGGTTGGGCAGAGCACATGACTTTTGCGATACTGTTTTGGTGCTATTATTTTGACATGGAAGTTTGAAAGAGTTATACGCAACCTTTTCCACAAAATTCATCACCGTAGCAACGTTGAATACATCTGTAAGTGCAATAAAGCTATCCTTTATTTTCGTGATCTCTGAGGATGAGGATGCACATATTCATACGCTAAATGCATTGAAATTCACAACACATATAAGTAAACCCATAATCCTACAGTATGCTCCTCACTCACGCAAGAACAATCAAACAGCTAAAATTCGAAAGAATTAAATACAAACACGGCAGATGTTCAGTTTCACAAATATAGAAAAGGTTATTTATCAAAAGAAATGTCAAGCAATCAGATTTTTACTACTATACTAGCAAAATAAAGGTGGAGTACATATGCTCGCTGTATAGTAAAAGATGCAACTGGAAACCAAGGAAATTAGAATGTGAGCAATAACGGACAATCAGTAACACCAAATACTTTTGTGTTTATCATTTAATTTGGTAACCAACTGCAGTTTTACTTTTTTTTTGGGGTATGCTACTTTTTTCTTACATATTATTTAACAGTTAGATGGGAGGTCCACCATAAACTTTAACCTTATTTAGAAATACAGGCTACACTCTTAGAAAGTTGAGGTTATTTAAAGAGAAAAAAATTAACGAGTTTTCCTAATTTGTAAAGTTCTTAATTAGTATTTCAGTCTACGTGTTGCTGTAGCTCACATTGATTTTGTTTTTTAGTTAATTTAGAAGCAAATATTTCTTGTTGTTTTGTAAAATAAACCCGTAAGAAAAAAATCTGTAGATTTAATTTCGAATTACGAGAGAAAGAAGATAAACAAAAGGAGAAAGAAATACCAGCTAATAGAGTTGATGATCAACTTAACTGCTGTTAATGACGTATTCCTTCTTTCTTGTCCACCAGTGGGTCAGCGTTAAGTTTACGTACTTACAATGCTAAAATCCGGAGTTTGATTCCTCTTGGTGGCCTATTGTGTAGCTTCGCTTTAAATCAAAACAGACGAACAAATGAACCTTTCTTTTTTATTTTAACTTTGATTTAATCATTAATTTCTATTTCTGCTAAAAGAAAAAAATTCTAAAGTAGAATAATGAATCGTTAGTTAATAATTGACCTCATTCAGAGAAGTTGGCCAAAAGGGTGATAGATAAAGTCTCTAAGTCTTTTTTTTTACTTTCTTGTCGTATCAGAATTCGGAGAAATAAAGAAGTCATGATTTATTTATAACTGTAAACTGGAGAAGTAGTGTTTGTACTATATTTCCTGTCCCAACATTCCTTCACACAATAGCTCTATGTCAGGCTTCACATTTGAGTGTTAAAGTACTCTTATAGTTACAGTGGGTTGAAAATCTAGATATGAGAGAAAACAAAAAATACAATATGATTATTTATAGTGATTTAAGATTGAGCATTTATGCGATCATTATAACAGCACTGTGCGTTAGTTGGAACGATGTACAAGTGATTGCCGATAAAAATTAATGATCAATGTTTAGAATACTGAAAAAAAAAAGAGTCGTCAATTTTTCACAGTAGTTAAGTTTGACTGGATATCAGAAGTATCAGTGTTTGACAGTAATTATATTTTGATTGGGTATCAGTCGTCAAAGTTTCTCAATAGTTAGATTTATACTGGGTGTCAAAGTCGTCCATGTTTGACAGTAATTAGGTTTAGAATGGGTGTCAAAGTAATCAATATTTCACAGTAGTTACGTTTTTGACGGGGTGTAATAGCATTCATGATTTCACAGTAATTACGTTTTGACGGGGTGTAATACCAGTCAATATTTCACAATAACTAGGTTTTGATTGGACGTCATAGTCGTTCTTGCTAGTTGGGATTTGCTTGACTGTCAGTCATTAATGTTTTATAGTTGTTAGATTTTGACTGGATATTGTGTCAGTCGTTTAAGAATTTTACCCAATGTTGTTTTTTTTATAAAGATTTAAAAATACATACACCCACTTCCATCTTCAATCACTACAAATAATTCGGCTTAAATTTTAAATATGTTCAAAATAAAAATACAACAAGTAAACCAGTTTTTCTACAACCACATTGTTCATTGCGCACATAATAATACATTACATGAGTTTCATCGCAGGCATAAATGTTTAAACCTTCCAAATAACTTATAAATAAATTATTAGGTGTATATACATAAAATATTACTTCTTTCAATAATCTATATATATTTTGTAACCTCATTAGGGAGATGTTCATTATTTTATATTTTGCAGTATGATCTGTTGTGTATGTTCAGTTCTTTTAAACAGATGTATTCACACAGTTCAAAACCTGTAAGAGTAATAGTTAAATCTAATATGCTACCAAAGATATTGAAACGTGACCTTTTCATCAATGATCGTGTACACAACGATACCACATTAGGTTTGCGTGTATATCTTATGGATCTAACTCTGTGATGAATATTTTTGAATAACTGACGAACCAGAAAAAAAAACTACTTTAGTTGGAGCCATTTAGAAAGCAGAGGCTAGCAAAAATTATTTTAAAGCTTGCATAATGCCGATATAATGAAACAAATCACACTAATACATCTGTATATACCACTTGTGTATTGAATCATGAAGAAAAGCAGAACAAATAGTACAAGTAAAACCAGCCAGACTAGTCCGAACCAAGATTGGTTTGTCAAAAGGTGAAACTCCAAATTCGATTTCGATGACGAGGAACCCACTTTGAGACTAATAATGGTTGGAGACGGCTTGAATGGGTAATGAAGAAAAACTTTAATATACGTTTAACATAACAGCAAATGTACAACGTTTCGACAAGGTTTTGTCATCATCAGGTACTCCAAATGCTAAGCTAATAGAACATTAGCCTTGAATCAATGGCATTAGCATCAAACTACAAGAGATGTTTTGGATCAGGCGTCTTGGAACCACAACATTCGACTAATATTTTTAAGAACGAAAGGGTTAACACACTCAGTAATCCTACCGACGTTTCGAATGCTAAACTCCCGATGTTCTCCTATTTTCTGTCTGTTTTCTTAGCCTTGTGCCTTCACTAAATTATAATTCGTTAACATTTACGTAACACATGCGGCATTGGATTTCTCAAACACTTAGGGACAAGCCACTAACCAGACGACATTTAGTTACTATGACAACGCAATGCAGACAATTGCTGAAACTATTTTCTTTCTTCTGATTTCTGCTTAACCAGAAAAACGATAAAGCAAAGAATATGTTAGATAGATAAGACAGTAATTTGTCTAAAAATCATGAAAAATGTTTCGCTTTTTATGGGTATTTTTACATCCAAGACGCTAAGCCTGATCCTCGATCTTCTACGTATTGTTATATGTTTTCTAATATTTTTATTAAATCTTCTCTTTGCTACGATTTATATAAAGAATCTTGATATAGATCATAAGTATCCTAACGATATATTAGTTGCTTATGAGTTAAAGACAGAAACAGCCATTCACGTCACTGTCAAAGATCGCATGTATAACAATTATGCATACAATGAAAGACCTTACTGCGAAAATAAAAGGCAAGATCAGTCATATATCATACTATGAAACAGAATTCGAATATCTGAATTAATATAAAACATTATATATATATACAATATGCTTAATGTGGGTAACATTTTGTCATTATTAACATCAGTAAAAGTCAGTCTATATTTTTATGAGTTAACTCTTTCACAGTCAGAACAACTTCTAGTGGATTATATTTGCTTATCCTTGATCAGTAAAAGTCAGTCTGTACTTTTTATAAAGGTAAGCTAACCCTATCACAGTCAGAACAACCTTTAGTGGATTATATTTGCTTATCCTTGATCAGTAAAAGCTAGTCTGTACTTTTTATTAACAGTAAGATAACCCTATCACAGTCAGAACAACCTTAGTGGATTATATTTGCTTATCCTTGATCAGTAAAAGCTAGTCTGTACTTTTTCTACAGTAAGTTAACCCTTTCACAGTCAGAACAACATTTAGTGGATTATATTTGCTTATCCTTGATCAGTAAAAGCTAGTCTGTACTTTTTATAACAGTAAGCTAACCCTATCACAGTCAGAACAACCTTAGTGGATTATATTTGCTTATCCTTGATCAGTAAAAGCTAGTCTGTACTTTTTCTACAGTAAGTTAACCCTTTCACAGTCAGAACAACATTTAGTGGATTATATTTGCTTATCCTTGATCAGTAAAAGTTAGTATATACTTTTTATAAAAGTAAGTTAGCCTTTCACAGTCAGAACAACCTTTAGTGGATTATACTTGCTTATCTTTGATCAGTAAAAGTTAGTATATACTTTTTATAACAGTAAGTTAACCCTTTCACAGTCAGAACAACCTTCAGTGGATTATATTTGTTGATCTAAGGGCAACTCTTATTGGAGACTCGTGTTTGTTAAAAGAACATTTACAATTGAAACTAAGTTTCTAATACCAAACCATTCCGTATATTTGGGATAATTTTAGTTGTTAAAAAGTGCTTTACTAGCAAACACTTCGCCCTTCAGCTCAGTTGATAGAGCACTTGTCTATAATACGATAGGTCTCAGGCTCAAATGCGAGACGAGGAAATATATCGTGATAAAGAAAATTACCACAGTGGTTACGACCGAAAACTGTGGTATAGGAATATACCACACACTGAGAAAGTCA